ATACAATCTAACAACAACTGGATGTCAGCCCAGTCGGGTTATGTTGCTTAATCAAAAACTGAAAGCGATGGGTTATGTTAACGGTATCATTTTGGTATGCTTTTGCCACTCCTTTCCATGTTTCCAGGTCAAAGGAGGAAAACTGCACTTTGATTACGATGAGGGTTCCCCTCTGCTCCCACTGCTTACCACAATGCAGTTATCTTTCAGTGACTGTTCATGCAGACATTGGGCTGTCAGGAGGGGTCCCCATCTCTTGGTCACTCTCCTCATCCTTCTGTTTAACTCTCACTGCAGGTTTATAATGTTCTGGCGATTCCTCAGGGATCCTCATTTTCTCTAATTTTGCACACCTTTGTCCTATACTGCACACAGAGCAATATCACAGAGCTGGTCAAACCCTTCTCTTTCACGTTCCTTTCCCAGGGTTAATATTGTAGGGTCCGGGGGAGGTCCCAGCTCACACTCCTGTTGCCATTTGGGGTGGTTTTTAAGGGTAAAGATTTTTAAGGGTAAACATATTTGCATACTCCATTTCATCCCATTTACCTTCCCTTCAAAGGAACAACATTAATTGCAACAGGGTGTTATAATTCAGAGTGCCATTAATGGGCCATTTCTCCCTGCTCTCTAATTTATACAGGGACATTGATTACAATATTTAATGAGCATCTTTTTGTACCAGAATGCATCCCAAAGGGGTTTTATCACACTGAAAACACTGAATGTGCCTAAGGTTTCTTCAGCTGTAGAGACCACTCCTTACAGCTTGTGCACAAAAAGAAGCCTGACGAGTCCAAAGTCCCCAGCTGCTGACAACTGAAACACTTAACTAACCTATTTCAGTTTCACCTCCCCCCAAGGCTTCCAGTGCTAACACTGGGATATTTGGCTTCCTAGATCTCTGTGGGGGTGTTCTCGTGCCAGCACCCATCTGTCTCAGCAGATCACAAGCTCTAACATCTCAAACTCACTTTTTTTTTTCCCTTAACCCTTTCTGGTCCTGTTACTTCATTTATGTTCCTGGTTTCTTCCTTGGTGTTCCCCCTGGTTCACCAGCAACATCTTTCCACTGAGCCAAAATACAACCCATGGGATCTTTTTGGTATCTCTTTAGACATCCCTTGTCCTGTAATAACTTTTAGTATTCCAGCCAACCTTAAATATTGGACAAGAGAGAACTGTGGCAGGAATGGGTTCAATTCATTTACCCCTAGGAAATTTAAAACTAAAAGTAGTTTCACAATTTAAATTTCCAAATCTAAAAAGGTTCTATTAGTTGTTTCCCTCAGAAATAGTTAAGAAGTCTAACAGAAGAATGAATCAATTCTGAGCTTATTGAACGCTTGCAAAATATAACAGGTACAAGGAAAGGAAGTTATCTTCATTCTGGAACAATGAATTTTGGGTCAGCCTATGCATCCTAAGAATGCAGATGGGTTGTAACAGTGTTTCTCATCACTAATTCCAAAGACAAACACATCAGTTACCTAATTTTGTGCAGGGCAAGCAGCATTCAGATCTAAGATGAAACAAGAATGCAGAACCGTAAATGGAAAAAAATAAACTGATGAGTGCATTGCCAGGGCTCTTGCGTCAGAGTTCAGATGATGTCAAGTCAGAATTCAGAACCAAACTCCTGTAGGTGGCGTTAAGCTCCATTTGTTAGTCGAGAAAGCTGACATAGCAGAGCATTGCTCAGCAGTCCCTGTAGCAGAAATGCAGCTCCTGCTTACAAATGATAACACAGTAAGGGGAGCTCAAATGCAATGTTCTTTAAAGGTAAAAACTAAGCTTATTACTTCTGCGATGCAAACAGTTCTTCCTGGACAGCTTCATCTAAATACTACCGAATAAAACACTTCTCATCAATACAACTCACTGCACGTTAATCATCTAGAACATGTGGTCATGCTTACCTAAAGATGTCAGTCAAAGAACAGGTAACCTCTGTTACTCAGTTACCATCTGCAGCAAAAAGGAACCTTCAATAAAACCTACAGTCAGCAGCTGAGCATACTGTGATGAAAATACAATGTAGTCTGGACTTCAGCAGAGTTCTGACTTCAAGCAACAAGCACAGCCAAAGACTTCTCTCCACCACTACATCTGCCCCATCTTTTCAAGCACTGATTTATTACCTGTGGTGCAGCTGGTATTGAAAAGTTCTGTTCTCATCAGCTTTACTTAGATGAACTGCATTATACTTAAAAATAAAAAGAAAAAAAAGAAGAAAAAAAAAAGAAATCAGCCACATAACTGCAACAGGCAACATCCCCTCAGTTTCATGCAATACAAGCTCTCAAACTACGCAACACATCAAAAGAGGAAAACAGATCAACAGCGAGAGAGGATCATTGCAATATGTGTTTTACCTGTGGATAATAATGTAGTCAAGACACTTAGAAAGTGGGGATTTAGATATCCACCTCTTATTCAAATTTCACTGAACTCAACACTGAAATAATTCAATTTCAATAAACTGACATTTATTTTTCAAAATCAAGCCCTACACCCCTGAACAGTTCAGGATACGGATTTCACGAAATCGGTAACAGTGACACCAGTATCAACTTTGTATCTATGCAGGCCTTTGTATCTACACTCTCCTAGAACAATGCAGATACATTAACCAAATTCTGACCTAATAATACCTTGGGATAGACTGCCCTCAGGAGGCTGAAATGGGATATCTTCATGGGATGTCACACGTGGACAATAATACTAGGCAAAAACTGTTCCTCCCTACATCTCCTATTTACAAGCTGCAGTAGTTAAAAAACAAACAAACAAAAAACACCATCACCAACATCACATGTCCTGTTAGAAGCTTTTGCTGATGATAATCCACTGCAGTATGTGCCTATAAATCAGGAAAATCCAGGCACAGACAGGTGTAAACACATTTCTGAAGAGAAGTGGAAATAAGAATTCACTGATTGAGAAAAACAAAACAAGGCAAAACAAAGCAAAAAAACACAACTAGTCCATTATCTTCCCTAAAGAAGAGAAGAAATTAACATGCTAGGCCTGCAATGCCCTCCAGAGTTCAACTAAAACAGAGAACATGCAAATCACATACAAAACGTAAACTTAATCGAGTGCAAAGGCAATAGAAGAGCAGTTTTATAAAGGAATAAATACTGCAGGACAGTATTATATCTATCCTTTCTGAAACAGTAACCTAGCTGAAAGAAAAATCACAGCGCAGGAATTATGGGTGAGTCAGAAAGTAGGTTGCATTTAAAGAGGAACTGCATGGCAACTTAAATGACAGCTACAAAGGCAGCCACCCTCAAAACACGTCTCAGAGGTCTCTTGAGAAATTCTGGGAGGTGGTGACAGGCCATGCAGGCATCAGTGACACAAAGGTGTCACTGGGGCAGAAGAACAGAGCTGGAATAAAACATAAGTTGAACTCGAACCCTGGATAGCAGCCTGCTTTAAAGCACTCCCAAAATCAGATGCTGAGGCGAAGTTTCAATACATGCCTGAATAAAGAAATTTGGAGGAATACTGCAGAAACTGTTGGAATAGTGGGAATTTCTATAAGAGTTCATTCTAAACTAACAAGGAAGCAGAATACTGGTACTTAACTAAAGTAATTAATGGGGTTAATTTTGGTGGTAGGTGGACAGATGATGTTAGAAGTCTTTTCCAACCTTAATGATTCCATGAAAAGATTATAAAGAGTTTTAAGTAATATAGCAGGTGAAAAAATACCACATGAATCAGAGTATAAATCATTCAATTCCACTAGGAATGGAATCAGAGAAACTTTGTATTACTAGTAAGAGAGTAGGCTGAAGTTTTCCAATTCAAATGCAAAATCATGCTAAGTCAGTCAAGCACACTGTCCTATTTAAGAACTGCTCACACGAAGGAGACACCAAAATAGTTTTTATGCAATTTGGCATAAATGCTAGATGCCCAAAATGGAAAATCTGAATGTCTGTTCTACACATTCAATAGAGAGTTCTACAGGGACATCACCACATACTTCATCTGTTACCTACCATACATGCTCACTAGTTCCACTGTCTGAAACAGCACACCAGGGCAGACAGAAACTTGGCCTGACCAATACAAGTACTGCTTTTCGGGGCAGTCGTACACAGTAAACTGTGAAATGAATTCTTGTTTTCATATTGTCTTCAGTTCTGAATTCCAGATTTGAAGAGTAAAAATGCATTTTAAAAAGGCAAGCAACACTTCAGTCAGGTCCTGTATCGCATTTGGGATGTCTTTAGAAAAAATGTAAAAAATGAAGGGCAAGTATGGGCAGCAGTCAAGTTACCAACATATGAGTGATGGCTTGACTAGTAAAAATGGCAGTACCAGCTGCCCTTCACCTTCAGTGCTGTCTGAAGAAATTCAACTATTCTCTGGCCAGTTCCTCCTATCAAAGAGAAACATAATTAGCAGTTAGATTTTTGGAACAGACACATAGGAAACACAGCTTTTCACAGCAGCACCACCTCTCTTCACAGGTATCAGTAAGATAAGGCCTCCAAAAAGGTCAACGTTTACTGATATTTTGCATTCCAAAAGCAACACAAACAATTGTAAAACTCCCTGAAAACACAACCATTCCTTCTGTTATTTCTCAGTACAAATACCTGTGAGAAGCTTGAAAGTGCGCTCTCTTCTGGCACAAAGACAAAGCTTCCCAGCCACACAAATGAAGAAAATCTCAGACTTTAAAGACTCCAAGTTATCATCAGTGAGATCTCTTCTTTCTGTACTTCAGTTTGTGCCAAGATGGGAAGACATTTCAAAAGCTGAATCAACATCTGGATCACGATGCAAAGAACACTGGAGCTAAGAGAAAATCCTAAACCACATTTGCAGTTTTCTTCAGAGAAGATAAAAACATCAAATGCCAAAAATTACTTGATCTCAATAGAAAAGCCTGAGGTCAACCTCTTGGTAATTTTTCAGTAAGAGAGCAACATCCAAGATCATTTACAGTTGAATAATTACCTTGCTTCAAAAGCTGCTTCAGTAAAATAAATGGCTACTTTATTGACTATATATACACATGTTAAAGAGTGTCAACATAACACAGTTGGACCGAGCAGAAGAAGACACACAGCACCACTCTGCACTTCAAAAGGAATACTTGTCTTCTCAGCATGCACTGAGCCTGTGGAAAGACTTCCACGCAGCAAGGCCTGCAACCACACCATTCACCAGTGACCAGTGTCTGTGCAGCTGGAACTCAGAAAATTACAAAATGAGCAACTCTACTGACCTTTAATGGTCCTTTAATCTAATTAAGTGCTACTGAATTAATTAATCACTGTACATACATTGAAGGATGGAACTGCATAGTTTTTGCTCCCATAAAAATATATGGCATATAATTACACCTTGTAAAGGCAATTCAGGAGCTCTGGAGACCAAGAAGCTTCTGCCTTTGGAGTTCCTGCTACAAACAAAAAAACAAAGGAAACTCTTTGCCACTTTGTAGGGACTGACTGATAAGAATCAAAAAACCATGTGGTTCACAGTCTTCAACATACATGAAGAACTGCAATCGTAACTGGCAGCAAATAAGCATTTTATTCACCTTTGTGTAAGACAATAATTCAGATTATAATCTCTACTCCGTTTCCAAACTGGAAAACGTGTCTTGATAAAAACAGTGCTTTAAAAATGCATCAGGAAGTGATTTATAACTATCACCATACCAAAGGCAGACCTTTTTAGAATTGTTACATATGCAAACTTCATACAACCAAATGGACTCTTTCAGGAAGCTAAGCATACCTGTCGGACTCTACTGCAACAAATTACTTATCTGATTAAAGAATATCAAGTCAATTGCATACATGAATCTTAGACTAATTTCCCCCTCCTTAATTAGCATGTATATGTTACCCACTTGACATTTAAGCAGGTATTTATTCAAGGTAATGTCTAAATCAAAAGCTGCAAGCCGCCATCCACAATTAGAGTACTGCCTGTAACATAAGGGGACTCCAGGAGAAATAAAACAGCTTGTGCAACTTCGTGAGGGTCTCCAAATCTTCCAAGGGGAATTGCTTTCTTCAGCTGGTCTTCTTCCAAATGAGCAGTCATCTCTGTGTGAATAAAACCTAAGAAAGGAAGAACATGAAGAGTAACCTAATTTCCAATTAAATTTTCCCAGTGGAGTTTCCCCTGAAACCTCCAACATGACCATCCCCAGCAAGCATTCTCTGAAGTCTTAGAAGCCAGCCTGCATCATTTTGTAGCCAAGAACAAATTTTTTCCCTACCCAACAACATAGTTCTGGAAGCACTGAAATAATGAGATCTGTGTTAAAAAAAAAGTGACTTTTTAGCACTCAAAAAACATGTTGTGACTTTTCTGAAAGACAACAAGTCAACGTGCCATCAAAACATACACAATTAAAAAACATGGGGGTGAGATCCCTAACAAGAAACACCTACTGAGGCAAGTGCTTCCATTGAATTCCAGAGCTTATTCCAGCACTTTCAGAATTTCTATCATAACTCTCCTATTATAACTCTGAGGGATATTTCTCTACAGCTTTGAAGGACAACACTTCACAACTTCAATTTTCTGAGATTTAATTTTCCCACTGTTTCAGTTCCCTTCACAAAAGCTGCAGCTTCACAAAGATCTGATCTACTGTCCTTCTGCCACTAAGAAGTCGTCTCAGCTTCACCTTCTGCTGTATCAATCTCCCCTATCAGCTGTTCAACTCACTAACCAAGGCAAGATATTTTTCCTGCCTGGTTCAGGAGCTGAACTGGGGAAGTCTGAAAGACACAGCAGCACAAGGCGAGCAGCAGAGTGCACACATAACTCAGAGCACAGAATGTCAGACAAGACACACGAGGTTTTTTTCCTAAGGGTGGTGGTTTGCCTGGAACAGACTGTCCTGTGAAACCATCCTCATAAGCTTTCTTTCCAGACCATCTCTGTTTACTAAAAGGAAAGAAAGGGATGTTTTCAAGGCAGCTTCTTCTGCTCTTTAATGTTCCTCTAATAACAAATAAACATTCTTTAGCAGCATTCTTTAGCATTCTTTACACAAAGGTAGCTATCTGTATATAGCTATTTCTAATTCTTCCATCTGTAAGGATGGCAGATTTTGAAGGAGGAACAAAGAAAAAAAGCCATTTTTTACATAAGTGTGGATAGAAGAACAGGCAGATGCATGCTCCTGAGTTTCTCAGCGTTCCCTTGGAAAAACGACAGTGTTTTCTAAAGGAATATATAATATGTTAAACCAGGGAAAAAATAAAACAGAAAAAAAACCTCACTTACTTACAAAGGTTGAAGAAAAAAAATAGTAATTTGTCTTCAGTACTTTCAGAGTACATCAAATATCTAGCAGGCTTGAAGACTCACTTATTGCAGTGGAGATATACAAACTTCCCAAAAACTAACCTGGAGCAACCACGTTGACTCGAATCTGCTTTCTTGCTACTTCTTTAGCAAGAGAACGTGAAAATCCAACTATTCCTGCTTTGCTAGCACTGTATATGCTTTGACCAGAGTTGCCTTTAAGTCCTACAACACTTCCTAAAAGAAAACAACATTGGAAGAGGTTAGAATCTAATAGCTGTGTTATTTCAGCTTTAAATTTTTAATAGAAAATGAGATTAAAGGAAAAGGAGTTAAAAGGATATTACTCAATGCACATTACTGTCTATTGCAATAAGCAGATCCCTCGATTATCTGTGATTTTTATGATAACTGCATATCTATGGTGAGGAACAGGGATCAGGAAAGTAAAATGGAAAAATACTATTGAAAAAAAAAATAGGAACTACCACACCAATTTAGTTCTTATAACCAGAAGTTGGTAGATTTAGCTACTGAAAGTCCCCTGATAAGGAATGGTAACATTGGTTTGTTTGTTTGTTTCAGAAATATTTAAACTCTTTGGTGTTTATTATTGAAACAAGCAACATTCAGAAGTTGCTGAAATTCGTTTAAGGATGAGGACTCACAAAGAAATGCTGCACATAGGAAGAAATATAAAAAAAACAGGCAATTACAAAAAGCAACATTTCAACATTGCACATGCCAGACCATTCCAGAAAAGTACTTTCCATATGATTCCATGGGATTAGACAAGCAATTTACCTATATTAACAATAGCACCTCCTTGATGATGAATCATACTTTTTACAGCAGCTTTACATGTCAGCATTGTTCCCAAAAGGTTTGTGTGAATCTGGGATACCATATCTTCAGTCTTGGTTCTCAGTAACAAGCCATCCCTGACAAACAGACCAAAAACCACACGTGAGCTCACCGCACAACCTCAATGATCACATTTACTCATAGTTAAACACGAGCAATGAATATTACACTAACTAATAACTTACCTGTTGATCCCAGCTGCATTAACCAAGTAGTTTATAGGACCTAAATTCCTCTGTATCTCTTCAAAAGCGCGTTGGACTTCTTGTTCTCTGGATATATCACAGCTAAGTACCAAATGGCCAGCTGCATTGAAATAAAGGCACGTGATGATAACAGTAGAAAGAAGTTTGCAATTCATAAATCTTAAAAATTTATAGACTCAACTGAAAAAAAAAGAGATGTTGAACTAGTTGTAACCTGAGGAACCCATTTCATCTGCAGAGAATTAAATCAGCACAATTTTCAAGAACTGTATTAATTCGTTACATGACAAGTCTCATCATACTTTCAGCCTTTTGAAGTCAGAACTTCAGCATGATCTGACTGGTCTCTGTTTTAGCTTGCTCAGGAGCCACGGATGACTCAATTCCTACCAACTCCCTGCTGCAACCTTGAACAACTCCTTGAATCTATTCTACCTGCACGATATGAATTGCAACATATTCACTATTCCCAAAGAGTACAGTGGAAGCAAAGGTGTAAGGAAATGACTTCCCCTCTGCTCCCAGTTTCCTCGTCTATTTAAACAATACAGTTCATTTAATGACTTACAACTTTCACAAGTTACCTAGGCATTTGGCAGTGAAGAAATCATTGCAAGCCAGCAGTATACATACCACCAAGACCGCATGCAGTATTTTGGGCTACTTCAAGATTTCTAGCAATAATTGCCAGGTGGCAGCCTTTCCGTGCCAATAATTCTGCTACAGCTTTTCCTATTCCTCGGGATCCTCCAAAAATGGCACAAACCTTGCTCATCCTAAAAAAAATAATTCACAAATTGCAAATAAAGCGTGAGTTTCAGGCCCAATATTGCAGAGAACAACCACTGTTCTTATCGATATCATGATCCTTACTTGATTGCAGCATTTGGTAATACAGAATTATAAAAGTTGTGATTTTGTTTTAATTTTATTCATGGAAAAATAAATAGCTGAAGTAAAGTAGACACCACTTTAATTACATCTGAAAAAAAATTATGCATGTAGTCTAGAATTTGAGGAAATACATGATTTACATATCTAAAAACCATAA